GGCCCCACTGCTGGACCTCCTGATGGCACCTGGTATTTCTGGCCACTGTGTGACACAGAGTGTTGGACTGGATGGGCCTTTGGCCTGACCCAACATTGTCTTCTCTTATGTTCTTATGTTTGGGGAGGTATATGGATGCTACACCGTGTCTCTAGACCTCCCAGTGGGAGGGCTCCTAGTGTCCTGGCCCCACTGCTGGACCTCCTGATGGCACCTGGTATTTCTGGCCACTGTGTGACACAGAGTGTTGGACTGGATGGGCCTTTGGCCTGATCCAACATTGGCTTCTCTTATGTCCTTATGTTATGTTCCAATGACCTCCAGCCGGGCCGGGCCAACTCTATCCGCTTCCTCCAAGGTGACTGGATGTTTGCAGCCTTTTTCATATTGACTCAAGCATATGCCTATGATTGGTTGCTTGGCAGCTCAGGGCTGGACAGCCTCCGGTCCATCACAGCATCTAATCTGCATTTAACCTTGAAGCTTCTGTAAGGTTTCAAAGAGGAGGTGGAATGCTGTCCTTGGGAAAGGAAGCTTTTGTGAAAGTTTGAGCTTGCAGAGAGACAAAGTGGGGGTATATTGCAAATTAAATAAATGCCAACACGGTGCAACAAAAAAAAAGGGCGTGGAGGGTTATACGTGTTTCAGAAGGTGGCTTTTCTATAGGACAGGTAGAGCACAGGGGAATCCCCTGGAGCAGGGGTGGCCAAACTGTGGCTCTTTCACACATATCCCAGCAGGGCGGCTGGGGAAGTAAAGGGGAGGCCTGCCTCCACGACTGGTCTTCCCTTCCCCAGGCAGGGTCCCCCCCCCGGTAGGCTTGAGGTGTGTGTGGGGGGAGCAGAGGAAGAAAAGCAACATTAACTTTAAATGCGTTCTCAAAGCCCCCCCCCCCCAGCTTGGAGAAGGCATTTGTCTCTTCACATCCCTTCTCCAAGCCAAGCTGGCTGGTGTGAGGGCACGTGGTGGGGAGGGTTCAGAGAACATATTTAAAGTTGCTTTCTTTCC